GACTTCAAGTTTAGAAACATTGCTATCTAACGTAATGATCTTCCTTTTTTTTTTTTTTTAGGATTGTCTTGAGTATTTTTCGAATTTTATTTTTCCATTTGAGTTATGGATTATCCCAGGTTCTATGGGAAAAACAACCCTCTAAAATCTATGCAAAATTATGATCAGTATAATGCATGTCAACACATCTGCTGATATAGCCTCAGAAAACCAGAATTCAGCACCACTATGAATACCAGCAGGAAAAAAAGACCCATGAGAATTGTGGCCCCAACCCACGACGGCCTCTAAACCCTGTCTGTCTCAGATGAAATCACACCTAGAAGCCTCACTGCACAGTTCAGAAAATGTACACTCTACAGACTCTGGTTCATTAGTGTTTAGTCCTTATTTTTAACATCATGCTTCTCTAATCCTTAAGCATAGTCACAAAATTTTGATAAGTAGCATTTTAACTGTAACTTCAGTCTCAGTGTCTTCTTCATTTCCTTTAGAATGTTCCACTCAGACAATGGCATATTTAGAATTGTACCATGCCATGAGAATCGTACTCTGCCATATATTGTACTATGCTACATATAAGTAGCTTTTGGTACTGATGTGTTACTGATAATCTTAATTCAAACACCTTGTAATCAGATCATTAATCACATTAATTCTTGGGTGTTTGTGGCCTACTGTCAAGAAAAAAAAAGAGAATGGCATATAATTCTAGTTATTTCTCAAGTAGGCACTCTCATCTTCTATATTCAGAATTCAGGTGTTGCCATATTAGTGCTGTTTTAAATTTTCTCAAAAGGTTTGCATACTGGTGCACACTACTGGTACTAGGCCATAACACAATGGGTGTTGACCATCAGGCAGATGCACCGTGTGGGCTTCTGAGAAAACTCCTCAAAGGGGCCAGTCTTTCTTGGATTCGTCTCCATGTGTTCCACTCTTTGCATTTCCCCAGGATCCCCACTTTTTAAGGAGATCTAAAACCACATGTGTCTGACTATGAGGGTGAAAGCCACAATTGGAGGACACTGTAGAAACGTCCTGATGAACCTGACCTTCCCTCTGGTTCCAGCGTCTACACTAACCTCGGGCTGGTTTCTGCCAGATTGCTTATTTTTAAAATTTTTTAAAATTATATTTTGGCAATCTTTACATTGTTGATTAGGGTAAACCAGATTGCTTATTACATGACAAAAGACAGAAGTCATAATTGGTTTAAAGCTGGAAACAAACAAACAAACATATTTTGACTTCAAAGCTCCTGCAGTACAAGATGGAGTAGAATAAGTTGCAATCTGTTATTGGCTGATAAAACTAACTTAGTGGATCATAAATGGGATTTTATCGAATTCAACAAGATACAACTTGCAAGTGTACTTAGCAATGGTAATTCTGAAAACTAGAAGAATTCCTTTGCATACCGTGGAAAATCTCACGATGGCAGATGTTTGGGACAGCAGGTAAGAGGACAGTTGGATGCCTGCATTCCATCATCTGGGTGTCTGAATTTAAATCCAAGCTCTGCTTCTGATTCTAGCTACTTACTATCATGCATGCCATGAGGAGCAGTTGACGGCTCAAGTATTTGGTTACCTGCCACTATGTATAAAACCTGTCTGAGTTTGGGGCTCCTGGTTAGCCTGGACCAGCTCTGTTTGTTAGGCATTTGCGGGAGTGAATCAGTGGATGGAAGACCTTTTTCAAATAATGCAATAAAAAAAGCTATGCATGAATTTCAACTTATGTGTCAAGATGGATTTATCTTTTAACTCCATGTTTACATGTTTTAAATGTCTTTTATATATGTATATATGTATCTATTTCTTTTTTTTTTTTAAAGATTTATTTTTATTATTTTTTCATTGTAAAGGCAGATATACAGAGAGGAGAGACAGAGAGGAAGATCTTCCGTCCGATGATTCACTCCCCAAGTGAGCGCAACGGGCCGATACCATGCCGATCCGAAGCCAGGAGCCTCTTCCGGGTCTCCCACACGGGTGCAGGTTCCCAAAGCTTTGGGCTGTCCTCGACTGCTTTCCCAGGCCACAGGCAGGGAGCTGGAAGGGAAGCGGGGCTGCCGGGATTAGAACCGGCGCCCATATGGGATCCCGGGCGTGCAAGGCGAGGACCTTTAACCACTTGCGCCACCGCGCCGGGCCCTATGTATCTATTTCTAAGAGGAGAGGGAATTAAGTACACATCGAGTGTACCTTATTCAAGATGCTTGGGACAAGAAAAAGCTTGTTGAAAATCTGTATGTTCATGAGACAACTTGGGTGTGTGATCCAAGTCAAGACTAAACTTATTTATATTTCACATATCTCTATCTATATAGCCCGGAAGGTAGCTGCATACACTAGTTTTTAACGTTCGTGTTTGACTGCAACTCATTATAAAGTTTGAAAGTTTTTGACTTGCAGCATCATGTCAGTGCTCACTAAGTTTTAGATTTTAGAGTCTCCCCACCCCTTAATGCATATAGAAACGATTCCCTACTGTGTGCTAAGAAAATTTTCAAGGCAGGGCCCAGCATGATGGTTCAGTGGCTAAATGCTTCCCTTACATTTGCTAGGATTCCCTATGTCCTGGCTGCTCCACTTCCCATCCAGCTCCCTGCTTGTGGCCTGGGAAAGCAGTTGAGGATAAATCTTTAAAAAAGAAACTTTCAAGGCAAAGGTACTGGAAAGTTGAAGGAATGGCATGTGCCAATTCATTATATCTACTACCATCTCCCTGATTTTAAGGCAGCTTTTGTGTATTCCTAGACTGCTACTGACTCATTTTTAGTAAGTGTTCAGTTATTTTACATGATTTTTTGTATTCATCAAGGTGACCTTCTTTGATGTGCTCACTGAGCAGTCTTTCACACTGCCTTTGCATCAGAAATTATTTTTAAAAATATTTGTTTAGGGACTGGCATGGTAGCCTAGTGGCTAAAATCATTGTCTTGCATGTGCCGGGCTCCCATATGAGTGCCGGTTCGTATTCCAGTTGTCCCACTTCCCGTCCAGCTCCCTGCTTGTGACCTGGCAAAGCATTAGATGATGGCCCAAAGCCTTTGAACCCTGAACCCATGTGAGAGAGCTGGAAGAAGCTCCTGGTTCCTGGCTTTGGATAGGCTCAGCACCAGCCATAGTGGCCACTTGGGGAGTAAACCAGCAGACAGATCCTTCTCTCTGTCTTTCCTTCTCTCTGCCTTTCCTTCTCTCTGCAAATCTGACTTCCCAAGGAAAAAAAAAATCTTTAAAGAAAAAAAAAATATTTGAAAGGCACAATCAAGAAAGTCTGGCAGACAGAATTTATCTTCTGGTTCATTCCCCAAATTTTTGCAATGGCTGGGGCTGGACAAGGCCAAAGCTAGGAGCCTGGAACTCCATGTGAGTCTCCTAATGGGGCTGCCAGGGGCCCAAGCACTTGAACCTTCTCAGGGGCATTAGCCGGGAGCTAATTGGAAGCCAAGTACCAGGACTGAAACTGGTGCTTATATGGGATGCTGGCACTGCAGGCGGCAGCTTAATCTCTTGTGCCACAATTCTGGCCCTACTAAAAATACTTTATAGTTCTGGCATATGTACGACTCCTTAACATTGCTACAGCCTCTGTCCCATAGATGATCACATTTTTTTTTAGCAATTTTGTATTTGCCTAACTTGTCAAAGATACTACTGTATATTTTAATCCATTCTATAAAGACAAATGAAAGACCTACTTTGTGCTCTGTTGTTAAAACTCATAAATTGCATGTGTTTTAATTATCTAGGAAAAATCAACCCCTTTTCAAATCAAGAATCAGTGAACCAGGATCTGTATGAAGGAGTAAGACAGAAATCCATAGTTCTGATCCAATGGGGGTAATTGTCTCCACATGTGTATGTTAAAGCCAGAACTCATCTACGGAAAGTGCTTTTGTCAACTGGACTGTCACAGAAATACTTTCCTGGGTCACAGACATATGGCAGGGCACTAGGAACTGCCTTTTCTTCTTGGATAATTGTTGTATTTTATCTGCCCATTTTTAAGTAGTATAAAATGGCTAGCTTGCTTGAAAGCAAATGAGTGACAGCAACTTCTCCACAGGCCAGAGAACTCACGCACAGCACAGGAAGCCCCCACATGGGGTCTCCCAGGGTCTCTGGGGAGTGAAGGATCTCTATAACCCATGACCAAGACCTCACAAATCCTAATTTGTCTAACATTTTTTCATGCTGCTTTTTAGAAGTTTAATTCTGGCAGGAATTAAAAATGATACTTTTCACAATTCATCTGCAGAAATATGCTCCTTATCAATTAGCATTTTCTAATAATTTAATTGATGCAAATATGCATGAATGCATCTACTCCATGATCAATATTCTCTAACAGTTATGATCAAATGTTAAAATTACCTTCTCTTTCAAAGACAGAAGAAACAAAAACCAGGAATTACCTTGTTAAGGGATTTCCTTGAAACAAAATTCAGTGACACATCAGACAAGAATAGCTGATTGTTAAACAACACAAATCTAAACTGTAGGTTCCTCCATCCTTCCTTCTGCCTCCTGGCTAGGAAGCAAGGAAGCCCAGCTGCAGAACTAATGGAACCCTCAATTACTTGGCCAAAGACAGAGCCAACGTCAGTCCTAACTAGATGACTCTCAATTATTCGCCAAATGCAGCCAGACCATAACACCAGTCATCTTTGGGTGCTGGGTCCAGAAACGATAATTTTTTTAAACTTCTGGTTTCCAAACATTCTGTAATGAAATGTGGTATTACTCTTATAATGCAAAAAGAACTCGAAACTAACCAAAAATGACAGATACATTAATGCACTGTTTTATTTTAAAAGGTTTCTCATTTCAAAATAATTAAATGTTTATATCCTGCCTTCCTTCTATTGATGAGGGGCCAATCCCCAGCCTCCAAAGACAGACAAGTAGGATTCTACAGTTTGAAACTTTGGGTCAGATTTTGTTCATCACTTACAAAAAGGATAATGGCAAAAGTCCCACAGTCTGTTGGGCGGGTAGAAACAATAGTATTTATTAGGTCCTTATTGTAATTCGGCTCAGCACGGAGAAATCAACAGGAGTAGAAACGACCCAGTGATGGAGAGCCCAACATACAACTGGGGCATAAAGTACATGGAAGTGCTCCAGCAAGTACAAAGGTACAGATGGCAAACCGAGCCATCGCTGCAAGGCAAAACAGGATTGTACCTGCACCCAGTGTGGGGTGATGCCTTCAGGACCTCCAGGAGCAGCAGCAGCAGCAGTTGCAATTCTCACCTCTGTTGCAATTCTTCTCTCACCAAGAGTCGCCTAGCAGTGGGAATTCTGAAAGCGCAGGAATGTGCCTGGTTGGGAGCATGACCTAAAGCACCAGAGGCCCAAACTTGCTGACTTCTAACTCAAGCTTCCACTTGAAACAGCCTTAAAGTTTCCAGGAAGACAAATATTTTCAGCATGATTTTAGAGATCTAAGCATAATGCTGATTTACTAGGAAATTGAGAACACTTAAATAAAAGTCAACATTTCCCAGGAAATCACTGTGCTCTCCATTCTGACATCACAGGTAGGGCACGATCTGAAGCATTCAAATGTTGCCCAAGTCTCTCCTTGCACAACACTGAAAGGAACAAAAACTCAGGAAAGATGATTTTCTTTCTTCCCTTATTAAAACTCCCCCCCCCTTTTTTTCCCTTTACACCCAACTGTTGAACACATCACTTTTTGACTGCCCCTTTCCTCGGCAAAGCTTTAGCATTTAGCGAGCATGACTTAGACGCTAACTGCTGGTACTAGAACCTTAGATGGGAACTTTTCTAGAAGTGGGGAATAAGCAGGAACTGAAAGAATCACACAATTTAAGTAGCAAATACAAGTAACAGAGCCATGGCCACATCCCTGACTCATGGCGCACTGCTTTGGTACAGCTGCACAGTGCGGATCCTGTGGCACTGAAGGCACATGGAGCCCAAAGCAACAACAGGCTGGGACCAAGCCAAGAGCTCAAATTTCATCAACTGATTCAAGGTGAGGGCTTCAGGGCACACACATGACCTCTGAGCACTTTTTCTTGGGCCTAAAATTGAAGTGCTAATGCCAGTGGGCCCTGAAGATTCCTGGTGAGGCGAATGGAAGGGGAAAGATATCAAAGACGGTACAAAGTTAAACTTAAAAGGGGTTTGGTCTTGGTCTGTTGAAATGGTAAGAAATTTTACATATCTGTTGAAGGTTAAACTTGAAAGGTGGTTGGTCTTACATATTTGCTTCTAGATCTTCAGGAAGGAAAAGGCCACATCATCCCATTTCTAGACACAGATGAGCTGACCATTCCGGAATGCTGACTTGAGTTATTCGCCCAGAAGTCATGAGTCTGGACTTGAGTTCTGGACAAATTATCAGCAACTCCCCCAAGGCAGTGATGGCTTCTCTCGTAAAATCTCTCCTCTGGCCTCCTCTGTGGCTGTAGAAGTCCGTCCATGCTCAGTGCCGGCTCAGTTCCAGCCTCGCCTGTCTTTACAAGACTCACAGACAGCCCATCTTGGTAAGTGGCAGAAAAGACTATCGGCTGCTTCGGGGGAGGCATCCTCCTCACTTGATCATCTGAGTTTCTTCATCTGCATCATAAAACTCTTCCTCTTCCTCACTCTCACTCCCCAGTGTACTGCCCTTGTCGGCAGACTGGAACAGGACAGGAGAAAGCGGCAGTCAGAGGGTGGCACGGCGTTTCTGACTGCCACTGACAGAATCATGCTTCTGCCATCCCTTCCTCTAAGCAGCAGCCCCACTGTGTTCTGAGGAAGCTTCTGGAATCTCCAGCCATTGTTATTTCTCTGAGAATAAGCGGCTTCTGGGCCCCACCCTGACCTCCCAACCTGGGCCACTCAGGCCCACTTAGCAGGGACATCCTTGTTCTCAACAGCCAGCATCCCTGGGGGTCAATGGGAAGGATTATGAAGACACCGCCCCCTACCTGTGGAGGGTCCAGGGCCTGCAGAGACAGTGCCTCCTCCCCCAGCCGCCGATAGGAATACACTTGAAGGTCAGAAACTGTCTCGAGCAACGGACTGTTGAGTGTCTCTGGCAACAGCAAACTCAGGAGGCCCGAGGTCAGGCCAGTGATTCCAAAGACAATGAAGGGGAGAGACGACTGCACATGTTTCTGAGGAATAAGCAGGGAGGTAAACACACAACCTCAGTGTCAGTTTCCTTGGCACTTGCCATCAGGCAGGCAGTGGGGAGCAGTCATGTTGGGCGAGGGTGGAGGGGACGGTCATGTTTCTCTCCCAGTTTTTTTCTCTACCCATGGAGATGTATGATGGGAAATCGTGGAAGGATTCTGGGGAGATAGGACTGCATGGACAGCAAGGGGAAGTGGCACAGATGCTTGGGGCTGATTTTAACACACAGGCTGGAGATAACAGGCCGGGGTTGCATCTGAGCAGAGAGGGCAAGCCCAGCCAACGTGCACAGAGATCCTAGTGTCCTTTTTCTGTTCCAGAAGTTGATAACAAAGTGGCCCCCTACATATTCCTCACTGGCAGGCACCCCAAAATACTGATGGTGAATTTTTTTAAAAAAATATTTATTTATTTTTATTGGAAAGGCAGATATACAGAGAGGAGGAGAGACAGAGAGGAAGATCTTCCATCCAGTGGTTCACTCCCCAAGTGACCGCAACGGCTGGCACTAAGCCAATCCGAAGCCAGGAGCCAGGAGCTCTTCCGGGTCTCCCATGCGGGTGCAGGGTCCCAAAGCTTTGGGACATCCTCAACTGCTTTCCCGGGCCACAAGCAGGGAGCTGGATGGGAAGTGGGGCCGCCGGGATTAGAACCAGTGACCTTTTGGGATCCCGGCACGTGCAAGGCGAGGACTTTAACCACTATACTATTGCCCCGGGCCCTGATGGTGAATTTTAAACTTCTCAGCCTTGGAACTGGTCAAAGCACCCCATGTAATTTGATGTTATAATCAACAGTTCCAGGGATAAAAGATATGAAAACTCAGAAAGCAGCCAGTAATATGATGCAGTGGGTTAAGCTGCCACCCAAGACACTGGTGTCCCATATACAAGCATGGATTTGAGTCCTGGCTGCTTCATTTCTGATCCAGCTCCCTGCTAATGTACCTGGGAAAGCAGAGAAAGATAATAGGTACCTGCCGCCCACATGGAGGACTCAGGTGGCGTTCCAGGCTCATGGTTTTGATCTGACCCAGCCTGTGTATTTGAGGTCATTTTGGGAGTAAACCAGTAGATAAAAAATTTCTTTCTCTTTGTCTCCCTCAAAAGCCTGTGTGTGTATATGTGTGTATGTGTAATTCTGCCTTTCAAATCAATAAATCCTTACGTATCTCTGGGGAAAAAAAACTCTCATACATCAGCAGGCACTTAACGCAGCAGTTAAGACAATGCTTGGGATACAAAAATCCCATATTGGGATTTCTGAGTTCAATTCCTAGCTCCATTGCTGACTTGATCCAATTTCCTGTTAATCTGTATCCCAGTTGCTGACAGGTCGTGTCCTTGGGTCCCTGCCTCCCACACGGGAGACCAGAAAAGTACCTGACTCCCAGCACTGGCCTGGCCCAGCCTCTACTGTTGCAGGTACTGGAGAGCAAACCCACAGATGGAAGATATGTCTGACTTACAAATAAACAAAATGAATTAATTCTAAACTAAGATAACAACAAAACTCTAATCATGTATATTTGGGTTGTATAATGTCTAAACTGGACATGGTAAAGGGCTGATGTGCAAGCAATTGCTTCTTGGATCTGTTAGATATTCTTTCAGAAAATTTAAATAGTTTCCTTCCATACAAACAGGTTCAAAGCAAAGACAGCCACTGCATGCAGGTTGTCAGTCTGGGTCTTTCTGAGCTGACATATGTTCTAGAATTTGGGCAAATGCTGTGCTGAGCCTTAGGATGCTCTGGTTTGGATTTTACTTCCAGGGGTAGATCCACTTTGTCATCTTCTTCTCTAAAATCTATTTTATTTTTATTAGCCAGACATTCAGAGAGAGGAGGAGACAGAGAGGAAGATCTTCTGTCCACTGATTTACTCCCCAAGTGGCTGTGCCTACCGGAGCTGAGCTGATCCAAAGCCAGGAGCCAGGAGCCTCTACCAAGTCTCCTACATGGGTGTAGGGCCCCAAGACCTTGGGCCATCCTCAACTGCTTTCCCAGGCCACAAACAGGGAGCTGGATGGAAAGTGGGGCTATTGGGATTAGAACCAGTGACCATATGGAATCCTGGCACATGCAAGGCGAGGACTTCAGCTGCCAGGCTACCAGACCAGGCCCTAGATCCATTTCTAATTAGGATTTCTCCTACAGACACTCCCTTCACCCTTCCCAATTTTTTCAAAGTGGAAAGAGGTCGAAGAAAATGGAGAGAGGAGGAAGGTGTGAAGAAGGGAAAGAGAACAGGGAGGGAGGGGAGTAAAAAGTGGGAGGTAGAGGTGGAAAGGCTCCTGTTTCCATCCACCTTCCCGCAAACCCAGGCCCAGCGCCTGGGGATACTACCGGAGCCGGGGGAACACAACATCTTGTTCTCATGTGCAAACACAATGCTCAGTGCCCCAGTGCCCCAGGGCAGTCAGCCAGAGTTGGGTATCTTGGGCAATAAACACCAAATGTTATATACATTTCTCCTGATTTTCTAAGTGGTGTACTTTTGGGAAAGAATTCATCTCCATCTGCAGCACTTTCATCTTGAAGACACGGGCCAGCATAATGCCTGTCTTACATGATGACCATGAGGATCATGTGTGATGGCACATCTCTAGCCTCCAAGTGTGGAGCCCAGCACACAGCAGAGGCAGATCAGCCCTCGCTAACTGGCTAAGTGATGAAGTGGGGCAGGCAGGGAGTTCCCTGGGCTCAGCTGACCCTCCTCTGGACGCAGTAGGGAGACAAGCCAGCAGTGCCCTCGGGGAAAAGCACCCTTGGCAAGAGTTGTCTCCTGGACCTGGGGTCCTGGGCTCCTCATCTACAAGGCCCAAGGCTCACATCTGTATCAGTTGACCAAAGACAGCTGCTGTCATGACTGTGTTCATCTCAAATGCATAAGTGTTTCCAATCTGGACAGTGAAGCAAAACAAAACTAGGAGGTACAAACCAACCAGTGAGGGGACGAAGGGAGCAATGATGCCACCAACTCGGGAGAACATGGAACAAGTTCCAAGCCCAACATTCCTGAAAGATATAAGCAAAAACACAGTAAGTTCTAGGGGATACCTGAGAGACCCTGGGGTGGGAATTGTGGTACACTGGGTTAAATTGCCAGTGAGACATCTTCATGCCATATTCCCATATGCCTGGTTTGAGTCCTGGTTGCCCCACTTCTGATCCAGTTCCCTGCTAATGCACCTGGGAAAGCAGTGTAAGATGGCTGAGATGTTTGGGCCTCTGCCACCCACGTGGAAGACCACTATAGAGTTGAAAGTTCCTGGCTTTGGCCTGTCTCAGCCACAGTGGCTAAGGGCATTTTGGAAGTAAAATAGCAAATGAAAGATCTTTCTGTCCTTTCTGAAATATTTTATTTTTATTTGAAAGGCAGAGGTACAGAGAGAAGAAGAAACAGAGAGAGATCCTTCACCTGCTAGTTCATTGTCCAAAAAATATTTGCAATGGCCAAGTTGAGCTGATCCAAAGTCACCAGCCAAGGGTCAGGAGCTTCCTTCAGGTCTCCCACATGGATGCAGGGGCCCAAGGACTTGAGCCATCCTCTGCTGCTTCCCCAGGTCACAAACAGCAGGATTGGAAGTGGAGCAGCTGCAACTCAAACTGGTGCCAACAGGGGATGCTGGTTACCACAGGTGGAGGGTTAGCATACTATGCCATGGTGCCAGCCCCCAGATCTTTGTTTTTGTCTCTGTCCTTTTCTCTTTCTGCATTTCAAATAAATATTTTTTTAAAAAAACTAAGAATACTTGAGAAAAATAAAGGATCTCTGATCTTTATGACCAATCTTAGGATAAAGAGCCTAGAATAAGAGGTGTTTCAAAAAGTATATGAAAAATTGAGTTAAAAGATTGCTTTGGTATAACAAGCTTTGCACTCCATGCATGGTTTTTCTGTAATGAACTGTTTGAAGTTCCCTTGTAAATCTTAGAGTAGAAGCACAGGACCCCACACAGCAGTGCTGCTGGAAATGCTCTATAATCACACTGTGCAGTATGGAAGCCACTAGGCACACACACTTATGGGTACTTGCAATGTGGCCTGGGAGGAAAAGGAACAGCACTCTTAATTAATTTAATTCTAATTACATTAAGCAGCCACATGAGGATCACTGGACGGCACATCTATAAGGGATGAAGCAGAAATGGAATCTGAATATTTCTTGCCCAATTTCTTGTGGATTTTCATCTCTTAGGTCTCATTAAGTCAAGCTTCATGATCTGGAAGGTCTTCCCATTTAGTTAAACAACTAATTAACTATCCCAGGGTCAGGCAAATAAGAACTGATTGAGCTTGTATTTTCAGGGAATCCAGAATGTTACCTTTATGGGGAGTGAAAGTGTGAAAAGAGGTGAGAAAGTATAGGAAAGAGGTCATGGTTTTTGGTAGGGTGGCCACACATCACTCTTTTCCCTTAATGCTAATTTTCTCATATTCGTACTCCAAAGTGTCCAGTTCAGACAAAATGGTTAGCCTACTCTTGTGGCCAACAGCCAGAGAAAGTGGATTGTAGGGACAGCCAGGAAATGACAACTGATCTTTGGCAAAACGAATTTCAACTTAACAAGCAGTAAGACCCCTAAGACTCCTGTGCGTGGAAAGATGATGACCCCTAGAGCCCCAGAAACAGGTACTGAGGGGGCCATGGAAGCAGCTCTGCAAACTGCGGGGTGCACCCCACTTCCAAACTGGGTGTGCTTTTCATGTTCAGAGTATTTCATGAGAGAAAGTTTAGGATGAATTATGTTCTTGGCAATATAAGGACATCAAGCTCTTTAAAACCATACATTACACTAATATTTAAATGAAATATTCACTGAAAATTATATAAAATTCTTTTGAAAAGTTGTGGATATTTTGTGCTCTAATGTCAGCTCTGTGAGATCAGGGATCTCTCTTCTTGCTATTATCTATCTATCTATCTATCTATCTATCTATCTATCTATCTATCTATCTGCCAAAGTTACCCAGAAGCAGAGACAGGGGATGTTCATTTGCAGGTTCACTTCCCAAATACCCATAACAGCCAGGGCCGGGCCAGGCTGATGCCAAGAACTCCATCTGAGTCTCCCACATGGGTGGAAAGGGCCCAGGGATTTGGGCTATCTTCCACTGCAGTCCCAGATGCATTAGTAAGGAGCTGGACTGGAAACAGCAGCCAGGGCTCCAATGCGATGCCAAGTATTGCAGACAGTGGATGAACACACTGTGCCACAGCTGTCTCCTATTACATGCCTGATGCTGCTGAATGGGCAACCAAAGAAACAAAATTCACGAAAACAAAACCAGCTTGGGGCAGACAGGGCGACAGGAAGTGCTTCTACTGGAACTAGGGAACCATAACAAAGCTGCACTTCCTCAGCCTTGCCAGCTGAGGGCAGCAGCCTATAACAGCAGTTGAGTCACAGATGGTCGCCGTCATCCTGGGCCTCGCCTTGAGGCCAGACAGACGTGAGGTGAGAGGGGACAAGGAGGTGTGGGGCACACAGACCTGATGACCGTGGGGTACAGCTCCGAGGTATAGATATAAACGATGTTGAAGGCAGCACTGATTGTCAGTTTTCCCAGCAGGGACAAGGAATGGCTGTTCACTACTGCAAACACACCTGTGTCTGAGGAGGACAAGGATAAACTCCATGAGGTCAGCAGAACGATCCCTTTTAAACCTCTTGGCATTCTAAAGTGGCCAGAGGTGTCTGTGTCCATCTAAAGAGCAAAGAGGCAGTGTAACTGTCTACCGCCTCAGATGGTTTGGTACACACACACACATTTTATTTCCTTATCAGAAACACCATCAGTCATCCTGTGGTTCTCTTCTTTATTCCACAAAATTCAATTATCTTCGTTTTAAACATATTTAAACTCTTTTCTTCAGGAATCCCTTTTCCCTCTATCTTCAAAATAATAAATTTCTTCTTGGACAAAACATTCTCATTGACTCTGCTGCACTTCCTCTCTACACAGACTTCTCAAAGGAGTGACCAGCACTCAAATGCCCCTGCCCTGGAACCACTTATCCTCCAGTGTCATTCTCTGTTGAAGCCTTACTCTTAGAGGTCAACAGCGCTGTCCTCCCCATCACAAGCAATCGCCTCTCTTCCTCCTTGACATCTGCACCAAGCTGATCTGTTCCTTAAGACTGTGTGGCTCTTAGACAGTTTCAAGAAAACACCCTCTACCTCTTTTCATTTCCACTGCCATTTTTTCCCATTCCATTCAACTAGCACAGCTCAGATAACTTCTTCAACTTCAAAACACATCTAGAGCTATCTCAGGCAAGGCTGGTGCTTCGTTTGCACTTGTGCTCTACATACATGCTGAACTAAGAAAAAGAAAGAAAAACAGGAAGAACTGATTATGTGAAAAAAAAACAAGTGCCCTTCCTCCCTACCTTGGAATGAGATGTAAGAGAATATTCCCTGTCCCGGACAGGAGTCCCAACCTCTTCTGACCATGAAATATCGTCGTCTGCCTTAAGGACGGCAGAGAGCCCCAGGACCACTGACCTCAGCCTTGGGGCTGGCTTTCTCCTCTCCTGTCCAAGGCTCTCCTAAATGCTGAATGTCTATTTTTAAGCCACATGGTGCTTCAGGAAAAGGAATCAAATGGACTTCTGAGATCTAACAACTTTTCCACTCAACCAATGAGTGCAAATTAAACTCTGAGTAACTCAGGAAAACCGTATTGGATGGCAATGAAGAAAACAAAGATGCTCACATTTGCCTGACTGCAAATGATCTCTTGGAATGTCTTTCACAAATGCAGGAAGGCGTTTCTGAAGCGAATGGCAGCACCTGACAACATCTCCACTGGGTTAGAGGTCTGCCAACCTCAAATTTAAGTTGCACATCACAGGAAGTTCATCGTGTGATCACTTGCATGATCCAAAGCTAGAAAGCTCCTGTGCGAGGCGTGAGACACCTGCAGCTGTAGCTGACACAGATAATGAGGGAGCCTGGCTCTTGCCACTGGCCCACAGATGCTCCCATCAGTCTGACACCCCAGCTGATGCTCTGACTTCTCCCTGTGCTCCTGACGATGCACTCTGTGGTCACTGCTTGAACCAGGAGGAAACCCTGCCTTCCCCAAGGCAGCCCATGTCAATTCTAGATAGCTTTGTTTATTAGAAGAGAATTTTTTATCCTTTGGGGACTCGCACACCGGAGTTGCTGGGCTGCTCGTCATCTTGAGTTAGTGCTAGGATGGCTTTGTAGCCACCGGGCTGGTCCTCGATTCCTGACCTGATTCTTTATCTGATAGTTAGAAACTACTGATGATTCCCAAGAAATGCCCAAAGTTACTATTTAGAAAAAAGTGATTTAAAAGGGCAAATTAAAATGAAATCTTTTTAAGACAGAAAATGCTTAAAAGTATACTTCCATGTTGTGGAAGTTACAAATTTATTCCAATGATGCAAGTACTAAAGAGAATTTTCAGAACTGGCTTTCTACAGAATTTCTCAAAGCCCTTTTGTGGGGGCCACCAGAATAAAACATACCTGTATGTCCCAGACACACATTTCACTAACCCAAAACAGCAACCATCCCACTTAGTGATCCACTTCATCCATCATAAGGAATTTTTATTTTTATAATTTTTTCATTTTCATTTATTTGAAAGGCAGAGCAGCAGCAGCGTAGAGAAAAAAAATTAAGACAGAAATCTTTCACCCACTGGTTTACTGCCCAAATGCTCACGAGAGTCAGTCCTCGGGCTGACTGAAGGCAGGTCTAGGTCTTCCATCTGGGTGGCACAGAGCCAAGTCCTTAAGCCACCCCTTCTGCCACCCACGGTATGCTTTAACAGACAGCTGGATTAGACACAGAGCTGGGACCTGAACCCCAGCACTCTGATTTGGGACATAAGCAGAGGTTTACTGCTGTAGCAGGAAGCCTGCCCCATACTAAACTGTATTACTCATGTGTTAAAAATATTTAAGGCATTACTTCAAACATCCACATCCCATAACAGAGTACCTGGGTTCAAGTCTAGTCTCCACTTCCAATTGCAGCTTCCATCTAATGCACATCCTAGCTAAATTGTGAGAGCTCAAATATTTGGGTGCTCTGCCACCCATGTGGGAACCCTGGTTCTCTGCCACCCATGGGGAGTCCTGGATTGGGCTCCAGGCTGTTGTCTACAGCCTAGCTCAATCCTGGCTATTACGATAATTTGGAAATCAAACCAGCAGACGGAGGATCTTTGTCTCTTCTCTGCTATGAGATAAGTTAAGCAAAAATTTAAAAATAAATATAAGGTGGAAAGTGTCTCACATGGCTCTGCTAAGCTCATTCATTTTATTTTTTTAATAGAGTATCTTTTTTATTGTTATTAACATTGTATTATGTGATACAGTTATATAGGCACTGGGGATTCCCCCCACCCCTCCCACGCCCCTCCCCCCATAGTGGATTCCTCCACCTTGCTGCATAACCACAGTTCAAGTTCAGTTGAGATTCCTTCATTGCAAGCATATACCTAGCATAAAGTCCAGCATCTTATTGTCCAGATAAGTTCAGTGGCCTCTTGGGGAGACCTTCTCTGGTCTGAAGGTAGAGCTAACAGAGTAAAGTTCTGGTCAGTTAAAAGCCCCAACAAAACATTAGCATCAATGTACAACATTATGGAATTAATTGACATAGTATTGAGTAAACAATATGTTAAAAATAATGCAAGTTCCATTCTTCAAAACATCTGGGTTGAGAGAGTATCAATGACAGGTTCAAAAAATAACAAACAACCAAACAAAAATTACAGGTTAAATCAGGGCAAACATGTGGTATCTAACTTTTTGGGATTCGCTCATTTCCCTTAGCATTATCATTCTTTTTATTTTTTAAAGATTTTTATTTGAAAGGCAGATTTACAGAAAGAGAGATACACAGAGAAATTGTCTTCTTCCTTCCTTCCTTCTCTCCTTCTTCCTTCCTTCCTTCTCTCCTTCCTTCCTTCCTTCCTTCCTTTCTTTCCTTTTCTTTCTCTCTCTCTCTCTCTTCCTTCCTTCCTTCCTTCCTTCCTTCCTTCCTTCCTTCCTTCCTTCCTTCCTTCCTTCCTTTCCCCACACTCATCTTCTACTGCCTGGTTCACTCCCCAAATGGCTGCAATGGCTAGAGCTGAACTGAGCCAAAGCCAGGAGCCAGCAACTTCTTCCAGTTTTCCCACATGGTCTCGGGCCATCCTCTACTGTGTTCCCAGTCCATAACAGGGAGCTAAATGGAAAGAACAGCTGCCAGGACTAGAACTTGTGTCCATACAGGATGCTGGCACTGAAGACAGAAGACCAGCCTACTGGGCCAGCGCACCTGCTATTCATTTACTAGTTCCAAAAGATTTGTTTTTAGATTCCTTAGGATTTTTCAGTGCAGATGATCACAGTCTGTCCAAGACAGTCAATTTTATATCCTTTTCAAGTTAGATTGCTTTAATTTCTTTTTATTGCCTTACTGTATTTATTAGTATTTTCTGCACAATGTTCTAGGAAGGGCTTAAAAGAGACACCCTTTTCTTCTTTCTAATCCTGAGAAATAAGCATCCAGGATGCCAACATTAAGTGTAAGTTAACTGGAGGTTGTCTTCTCACATCTAAGTATATCCTCCCCTAATTCTGGTTGCTGACTATATATATATTATATATATTATATGCATATAAATTAACAAGCAAGTTCTAATGAGTGCTTTAACTGCTTGTGTTGAAATTACTTTTTTCTTTTTCCATTTTTTAATATAGCAAATAACACTGGCTTTTGAATAGTATATTAGCTTCCTATCTGTGGGATACACTTAACTTGGTCAGGATCTAGTACACTTCGTATGCACTAGTGTGTCTACTCTGCTAATATTTTGTTAAGAACTTTCATATATGCTAATAAGGGATGTAATCTAGACTTTAATTTTTTTGTAAAGTCTGGTTTAAGAACCAGGTTTAATTGTTGGCCTCACTAACTAAGCTGGGAGAGTTTTCCCTTTATTTTCTGGAGATGTACATAGAATTGATATTATTTCTTATTTGTGTGTTTCACAGAATAATCATTTGGACCTGAAATTTCATTTGTGGAAACGTTTCAAGCTATAATCCAGTCTATAGGACTTTATAAATAGGGCTGCTCAGGTATCTACTTATCTTTGAGCAAGTCCTGATTGTATCTTTCCAGGAAGTTTTCCAGGTTGTTTAAGTTGAATTTACCAAAATAACAATGTTCATAATATTCCCTTAATAATGCATAAACATTTTAGAGTGATGCCCCCTCTTTTATTACTGCTATTGATAATTTACACCCTCTCTCTCCTTTCCTTAGCTTGCATAGAGCTTTTCTAATTTTATTGGTCTTTCTAAAAAAGATTTACTTATTTTTATTGGAAAGGTAGACTTATAGGAAGAAGGAGAAACAGAGAGAAAGATCTTCCATCCACTGGTTCACTCTCCAAGTAGCCACAATGACTGATGCTGAGCTGATCTGCAGCCAGGAGACAAGAACAGCTTCCAGGTCTCCCACATGGGTGTAGGGTCCTAAGGCTTTTGGAGCCACGCTCTACTGCTGTTCCAGGCCATAAGCAGGGAGGTGGATGGGAAGTAGAGCAGCTGGGACATAAACTCGCGCTCATATGGGATCCCAGCTTATGCAAGGACTTTAGCCACTAGGCTACCACGCTGAGCCCTGTTCTATGTTTTTAAAAAACTGTTATTTATTTGTGAAAAACACAGGAACAGGGAAGCAGGTTTACTCCTATTCAATGCCTGCCATGACCAGTGCTAGCATATGCTGAAGCTGGGAACTTGGAACTCAATCCAGGTCTCCCATCTGAGTTTGACAGGAACCCAACTAGAGGTAGGAAACTGGAGGCTGAAGTCAAACCCAGTACAATGATGTGGGATCAGGCGTCTTAACTGGCATCTTTAATCATTAGGCCAAAAATGTGCCATTTAACTTTCTCTTGAAGGAAAGTAACTGCACATGAGGTACACTTTGATGTTCTGGCACATTTATACATCATTTATGGATCATTTTAGGATGATAGTTTATCCATCATATTAATGATTCATCGCTTTTTTGTGATGATGTCATTCAAAATCCTCCCTTCTGCTTACTTCAAACTATGCAATATCATATTGTTAACTGTAAGACCACCTTTCCATGTCAGAAAAGACCTGAACTTACTCCTCCACCTGGCTGTGTATTTTATCTGCTTGTACAGTTGTTTAGCAAGGAGCTAGCCGGTCTCTGTTTACACAGCACTTCACTGCCAGATCTCACAGGGTACTGACTGCCTTCTACTGTCATCTTTGAGTATCCAATTTTCCTCAATAAATTGCAATCTCTTTGAGAGCATGGACTGACCTTATTTATTCATATAACCTGTGTATCATGGATGCTAGTGCAATTAAATGAATAAAGAATGAGCAGACCAAGATTGGGAAAATAAGTGAGATCTAAAGGTTCCACTGTAGTGGATTCTACAAACAGTCTCTTGAGCTATGAAACTTGTTCATCTACAAAAGTACTTCACTTTCTGGTAGTCAGTTTCTCTATAGGACCACAAGTGCAACAAACCTTGCCAGCATCAGGCCAGTGCTATTCAACAACCCACATTTGGAAGTGATGACCCAACTCCCACAAGGCCTGCCCACTGAACTGACTCTAACCAGGCAGTGCCAATATGCTAAGACTACTTTTACCATCTGCAATGAATATATTGGTTCTAAAACTCTAAGGGAAAACAGTATTCCCCAAAGAGGCATGATCACAGTCAGAAAGATTTGAAATCTGAATCCTTTAAGTGCTACTTACTCACTATGTAACCTTGAACATGTTGCTTGGCTAACCTGATCGTTAGTTTCCTTATAAAATGAGGATACATAATACTTTATGCATGTGAGCATACAGTCAAAATGGTGGTCAGTACAGTTAAGATTACGATCCTCCAAGCAAGGACAGAGATTAGGTAAAATGTCTGACTGATCTGTAGAAAAAAAAAATTAGTGGTCACCTGCTAACACTATTCCCAGAAAACATTTATTTGGAGACCAATCTGTGTGCAAGAAGTTATCACCTAGGACACTTGTCTAATACAGTTTAAACATCTTTTATTCAAGATACTTTAAACCAGACTAAGTTCTTTTCAAACTATGGAATACTTGTGTGTTCATTATATATATAATGAGCTATCTTGGTGACATGCCCTAAGACTAAACAGAAAATAAACATGTCATAGATAGTTTATAAATAATGACCTAAAGGTAATGATTACATTGTTTTACACCTGATACTCAAGGAGCAAAAAGGGAGAAAACACAGAACTATCTTCTGCTGGTTCAGTCTCTAAACACCCACAATTGTTGTGAATGCACTTGGTTGAAGATGGAGCCAGGAGCTCACCCATGTCTCCCATGAGACAAGGACCCACCTACTTGCACTATCACCATTGGCTCCAGAAGTGTGCATTAGCAAGAAGCTAGACTCAGAGTGAAAGCCAGGAACTGAACCCAGCCTCTCTGATGAGGGATGTAAATGATGAGGCCAGACAGTGGCTCCGTGAAGGTCACTGCAACGGGAGCATTGGGACAGCTGCATATTTACTATAACCAGACATGATAGCTGGTGTGGCATTTTCCACCTTTGACATATGTCAGTTCTCAAAGGGTTTTGGATTTTAAGCATTTTGGATTCCAGATTTTTGGATCAGGAATGCTGATGAATGCCACAAAATATATTTTCTAGATTATTGGATGTTTCTTAGGGATATAGTCATAGAAACAACAAATCCTCCAGACGAAGAGAACCAAAGTCTATGTTTAAATAAGTTGGGAGTGGGAAAGAGCAGGTATTATGGCACAGCTGCTGCTAGGGAGCTGACATCCCATATCATTCACAGTACCTGAGATCAAGTCCCACCTCTACTTCCAATCCAGTTGCCTGCTAATGCACCTGGGAGGCAGCACATGATGGTTCACGCACTTGAGTCTCTACCACTCATGTGGAAATACCCAGATGGAGTTCCTCGCTCCTGGCTTCGGCTTGGCTGTACCCCAGCTGTTGTAGGCATCTGAGACATAAACAAGCAGATAGAAGATCTCTGTCTCTCTCTTTCAAATAATTTTAAAAAAAGAATAAAAATAAATAAAAATTGAGGAGGAATAAATAAATAAAAGTGAATTGGCAGTAAGGAGAGAATGAAAGCAAAAACACTGAACAACAACAAAAAAAAGAGTCCAGGTTGATGGAACCACTAATAGAAATCATTGACCTGCCATGTCTGTTTCTTATTATGTACCATCAAAACTCTCATAATAGGTAGAGCAAGACCTTGGGAAAAATAGAGATTGAAGGTAGAGACATCAAAATATTTTAGAAAGTAAATATACACAATTCAAAGAAAGTACAAAGGAGAAATACTTTTTAGCTGAAAGAGGAGAAAACTCAGGACTGTCTAGAAGCTTCTCTGCAAGTATGAAAAGGATTATGCAAAAAGATAAAAGGGGTGGGGGATTTGCCATCTGTTCTCCATGTCCAGTAATGATCCAAATGAGGGGAAATGGGCTCAACTGTCGCGCACAAAGATCGCTCTGACAGTAATGGTTATTAAAATAGAACTCATTTATGAAGGGACATCATGGCACTTTTCTCTCTGGACATCTTTAGAACAGACTAGACACCCACTTTGTCGCCGTGTAAAAGAGGCATCATATTCCCGCGGCACGTCTGTGGTGTGGGAGGGATGCTCTGCTCTGCTGCTTCTCACTGTGCCCGCCCAGGGCACATCATCAACAAAGAACCCAAGCTGCTCTCTTAACACAAGGTCTGGAATCAAGCAGAGAGAGGCTTGCCATTCAAGATGGTGACCAGACATTTCACACTGCTTTGTGTTTTGTTTATAATAAGAGATAATTTCAAGAAAGGACCATGTGCAGAGTCCTGGAGCACAGGTTACATCGAACACACAAATGAGAGGAGGAGACCTGTTAATTGGCCTGGCTTGGGAAGTGTGATATGTAATAGGTGTGTTGCAAATTAACAATGAAGTTTTTCCTTTTGTGGTGACAAACAGAACACTGGATTGCTGCTACTGGAGAAACGGAATTCTCCAGGTGCCTATGCAAAAACAATCTGGGCTGAATGTAAAGCCTAATCACTTCCCATCCGCGCGCCCAAGACACACAACTGTATCCCTGCTCTGCAGGCCCCTGGCTGGGCAAAAACTGAGGAGTTTCTCCTGTCTCTGATACTAGCAGAGGCACCAATATACATGTAGAGTAAGAAATGGGCAAAATGAATTCCCTAGTTTCCATGATTCCATGAAAATCACTTTAGGCTGTTCTATATACTGGGTGCGCTCATTAGCTAGTGAGCAATGTGTACTCTGGACTCAAAGCACAAACACAGGCAGGCAGCATCCAACAGCTGAGCAGGTGTCCTGGGGGCATACAAACAAGGAAAACATGTAGCCTTGGAATCTCCAAGGGGATACCAGCACAAACCAAGCCTCAAGGAGAAGCAATTTACCAAAGCATCATTAAAAACATTCTCTGATGGGAACGGAATTCTGCATGCATCTTCAGCAGTCACCCTAACTTGATGTTGAATCAGCTCACGAGGAGTCCCACCTGTACAGCAAGATCCATTGTAGAGTCTTAAGACCCAAATACCCTCAAAAGGAAAAATCAACACCAAAACTACAGTTCCTAATGCAACAGCTGGCATACCTTGGCTGTACTATTGCACAATACAGTTTAAAAGCCAGCAACATCTACATTTTTATATAGGGACAGTAACCAGGCTAGATGAAGCTGCCAAAGGGACCCTTTTGGAAGCTGTGTTTACACAGGAATGCTACAAATATCTAAGTGTACTTCTTAAAGCTTCTTTCTGGAAAAGTGGGAATTACAATATTATTTTAGTGAAAAAAACACGGAAATTTATGCATATAAAAATGTATTATAAAAAATGCACAATTTTCCAAAAAAATTTTATGCTGAAATAAACTTATCTTTAAATTCCATTTTTCACAAACTTTCTGAAATGCCCTTATAGAAAAATATCAAAGATGTATAAGGATGTTTCATTTACATTTTCTGTAAGAAACAGAAAATATCACACTTAGTTGTGCTATTTTTTTTTCTTGTGGCGGGAGTGGGGAGAGGGGTGCCTTGAGAAGAGTGCTGATGGAGACACTGAGTGGTGCCAGGCCACCTTTGAGAACCAGTGGCTCTGATTTCCAATGTTCCAATTGGCCAGGATGAGGAGTGCAATTTGCAGCCTTGGATGGAGTTTCTCTCTGCACAGAACCAACAGGTCTTCCTCATTATCAAATAAACAATTCTAACATCACCAGTCCTGCATCCCAGCCACCCCAGATGGTAGCTTAATAGCCTGAAAGAATTAATAGTGCACCTCAAAGCACATTATTCACCCAGAGAATAGTTCAGGCAATGGAAAGAATCTGGCCCATTATAGCCCACACAATTGCTAAATAATATGCAATCACAGAAATGAAGCATGGCATATGGTAATCTCTCCACTATACTGAGCTTCATTGTAATAAAAGGGCCGTTCAAAATCCTAGTAGAAATTTGAAGGGCATACCTTTCTTTTCTGGAAGAAACATTACAATAAGACAAGCCAATCCTCCTAGGCACAGAAATGCTGCTAATGTCCGCTTCCGACCAAACCTGAAAAATAATAATGAAATGCCCCATGTCTCTTAAGAATCTTATAAATCCATCAACCTATTCCCAATCTTCTTATTTAAACATTGTCCGTTTCACTAAAAGCATTGATCTTTCTTTAAGGAGTGGACAGCAAATGTGTTGGATCAGGAGTCTGGTGAGAGCATTATCAAACAATGGGAAACTTGGCTGGATGGCAGGATTAAGTGATGTGTACAGAAGAGAAGGTATAACGATTCTATTTCCACGAATGTTTGCTATGTTCCTGGCACTGTTTTAAACCCTGCTGGTGTGTTATTTTATCTCATTGAAATAATAAGCCTGTGTAATGAGTATGTACTATTATATTCTTCAACTTCTAGCTCATTTCATTTTTCTGGTTACCTGAATCTTATGTAGTTAAGAGTTTGAAACACTATTTTAAAAGTCTCTCTTTTAAAAACACAAAAAGAAGAAACTTCTTGTCAATTAGAATTAAATGAAATGTACACACAGCACAGCTTAAACGAAATCATTTTTAAAGTAAGAGCTCTAGACTTGAGAGAAATCAGCTTTAAATAAACCTCTCTTTTTAGAGGTTTGTAGCACACAAGGTGCATGGCTAGAAGCTCCAGAATTGTCATTTGGATCACATTTTTTCCCAGGGGAATTTTATAAGCCCTGATTTGAGGATGAGTATGAATGGTGGTTTAGAGAGGGAGTCTGCCAACATTATAAAACTAACATATGCTAAGATGGGATCTGGATTTAGGTATGTCTGTCCCAAAGATAGTGTCAGTTGGTGAGAGACAGGACAAGACTTAAATCTCTCTCCAGACACTATGTTTAACCTAATAGTATCAAACCCCTTCCAAGAAACAGCTCCCATGCCAGATAGGCAGGAGGAATGTCAAGGGGCACAGAATATCAGAATGTCAGGGGCTGTCAGAGGTGTCCCCATGAAGCCACAACAACACAAAAGGGGGGAGTTGGGCACAAGTGAGGAAGCTGGGGAGTGCTCCAAATATGATGAGTGACCTAGCTCTTAGGATGATGAGAGCAGGCAGAAGCCACTGAGAGGAGTCAGCAGAGGCAATGGGAAGATTTCCTGGCTGCAAATCCCTCCATGTACCAGAGCTCACACCTGCCCTTCAAATGCGCTAAGCTAAAAGCATGACTTCAGCACTGAGCATGACACTAAAGGAAGCGTGGTATGGGAGTATGAGGAACAGCAGTCTAGTTGACTCCGAGCTCACACAGGACTGGATCTTTACTAAGTGATCTAAAAACAATTTAAGAAAAGCAGGCTCCAAAACTTCTAAAATGTGTTTTAAAATTGTGCCCACAGACACTGAACAGCAAAAACGGGATATACTCCTTCCTTCCACAAATTAAAGAGGACTTAGGAGAGAAGGAAAGCCTAATGCCCTCCGCTCTTAGTCTTCCAGTGAGAATTGCTAAATACCATTCATGGAGTTTACAGAGCTATAACTCCACCTCTTGGGACGAACAAATTAGACACAGACCACTCAGTAACCCTTAGATAATGAAGCCATTCAATGCTGGAGTGAAACCTACATAAAAACTGACACATACAAAATGCAAGAAACACTGCACTAAAAATAAATTCTAAATGTGTTGTCTGAGAGGGACTCTCAGAGTGATCAGCACACTCTGTACACCCCAACAGTGCTATTTAGATGCTTATGCATATTAAACACATGATACACTCCACAGAGAGTATACAGGCACACTCCACGATATGCTTCACATTCACCCATACTCACCACTTTTGGTTAATCAGGTAGATGCAAAGAGGGTAAGATGGGATCTCTATGAGGCCAGACAGGGCCAGGTTGGCATAAATACTTCCACCGAGATCACCTGCACTCAGTGTTAGGCCATAGTACACCAAGCTGCACACAAACCTGAAATTGGGGACCAGAAAAAGCCCATGAGGATTTGTCAGAGGAGACTCAGTGTACAGTACAATGTAATCTGCTCTAAATAACTGACTCTCCTACTAACCCTTCAGTCTTAACCTGGTTTCTATATTAAGAAGAAACAAAAGTAATAAGGGGGCCTTGGAGATGACTTCTGCTTACATGTTATATAAAGGAAATGATGCCCTGCCTTGGCAGCAGTAAAGATATTCTTTCAGCTTTCTCAAGCATTATTGCATTTAATATAGGACAGTGACCCTAGTCTCACTTTGCTTAATGCAACATCTATAAAACACTTGCCTAAAGCAGTTGTGATATTGTCAAGATGATTCTACAAAATAACTCCCATGGAGAAAGCCAGCAGAGGATGGCATTGAGAACAGCAGCTGATCTTCAGAGGGTCACCCATAGGCTAGTCACTTCCAAGCCCAAGGTTAACCTCACTCACAGCAGGTACACATGCAACACACACCCAGAATAAAGAAGACAAGACACAGGGCACAGCAGAGGCAGGATCTTCCACGAAGATCAACATGGGAAAGTCCCCTGGAAAAGTGTTATTTTATTTATTCACCCTGTTCCAAAATGAACATTCATGGAGAGCAGGCACTGGGTTGGGCATTCAACCTATTGCCTGCAGCCCATAAGCAAAGACCCTAAGACCGGTGCCAATCAAAGAGCCAACCAGGAGCTCCCAATCAGTGCTTTCTCAACAGCAGTGAAGGGGCCACTAGGAACTTCCGTGCTGAGCAAATTGTAGCATTCCAAGAAAATGAAACAGAACAGGATAAGCAAAACAAGCAAACAAACAAAAACTCTGGAGCTGGGCTTTTCTGGAACACAAACACAAATCACAAATTCCATTGTCATCAATAAAACACCTGGACCTGGTTACATTGGCTATAGGTTATATTGACCAGTTTGAATCACCCAAAGGGAGGCTCTCACTGTTTCTCTTTAGTTTGCCTTAGAAATAGTCCAACGAGCAGCAGTTATGATGATCAAACAGGAAAGAGAAAGCTTTATGTCAACTTCTGCCAAAGTTGTCCAAGCTACTAGGAATGGGCCAAGGCAACTCAAGGAGAGAAGGCTGGGCAGGAGGGAAGGGGAACTCCTAGAGCTGTTCCAGTGAGTAGTTCACCCCTCTGCAGTAAATAAGCCAGAAAGAGCAAGTGCTTCCCAGTACTTCTTTCTTATCGTGATGGAAGTGCTGTCCATATGCTAACTAGCATGGGCAGTACTGCAGCTAGGCTACCACGCTATTCTACGTTAGGATGCAAGGTGCGTGGGCCCATGTTCTCTATCCTCCAGGCTCTTGGCATGTAAATTACAGTCCAAACACATTTAGATTCATGTGGATTTCTAAAATACTTTGAAAATCTTTTCAAACTATAATAGATACTCTCCTCTACATGATGCCATTTTCTAAATTATCTGTGTCCATGTGTGTCAATCTGCACTGAAAACAATTCCAATGGCATAATTGCAGCCATGAAAACACACCCCCCTATTTAAATCAACTTGTGATGTTATCAAGCCAGAGAAAGAATAATGCTAGTTCAGGACAAGAGTGGAATTCAGTCCCAGCTGGCAATGACAGAACACCAGGCAGAGAGGGCCCATCATCCCTGAGGCTAGGCCCGGCTTGGCAACTTGCCTTCCTGGCCGAGTTGGTTCCTGGATCTGTAATTACAGTTATGAAAATAATTTCAACCCTCTTTATGTGCCCCAACCAAAATTTAAAATGTTTCTGTTATAATTCACAGTGTATTGGGGCATCAAGGAAGAATTCGGAAAGCACACTACTGGAGAAATAAGCAAAGCAGCAGCTGTTAAACACAGAGGTATATCTCTACTCCTCAGTTAAGGATCTCTCCCATGACATCCCCACAGGAGAGACTGCAGGATTTTACAGCTTCTTCATAGGAAAGGCGACATGGAGAACCACAGCATCCCTATCAGCACAGATGTTAGCACTCTGAGCCCAGGGGAAGAAGTCATGCACGCAGACCTGGTTTGTCTGTGCAAGAAACATGGTAAAACAGGAGTCTCTCAGGCCCTCAAGTGTAATTTTTTCTTCTTCTGCCAAAGGCCAGAACCCAGAGTTTAATATACCAGGGGGAAAAAAAGGAAAAATGCAAAAAGAAAGGTAGTATATCATTTCCCACAAGCAGGAGCTTCCTCAAGGCACAGTGTGCCTGCCTAATGTGATATGCAAATGTAGTCTCACTGAGATGTTGTATCTGGATTTATTTTGTGTTTGCTTTTAAACAGGGAGGACTCAAATCAGCGGTTCCTAGGCTATGTTGCTGGCTACAGGGGTCCTCTTCATCTCCAGACTCAAGCGTATTCGTTAGTTGGCATTTTATGCACCTGTGATATTCCCAGCCCTGTCCTGCAAGGGAGAAAGAGCAGTTGGTGGGACATGGCCCCTGACTACACAAGTGGCATCTGGGACTTGAGTAGAAAAATTATGAAGAAAAAATCTTTGCAGTTTCTTGTTACAAAAGCACTGTTTTCTTCAGCTTTATATATAACATCATTTTCAAATAAAACCACACTTTTTCTACACTTGAAAATTTAAGTTGCCATACAACCTTTATGGTAGGTACCTGTGAAACACAGGACAATCATTAAGTCAGGAGGTATGATGATCATGCTAGCACCACACTCAGCAATGCTGACAGCATCTTAGAACAATGGATAATCATAAAACGCAGAAGGTTAAGCCAAGGGCCCACAATGCTGGCATCCCATGGTCCGAACTATTAGCTCAAGTCCCAGCTGTTCCCCTTCCAGTCCAGCTCCCTGCCACTGTGCCTGTTGAAAGCAGGAGATGGCCCAACCATTTAGGGCCCTGCCACCTATGTGAGGGACAGATGAATTGTCAAGCCCAGTTCCAGCCAATGTGGCTAACTGGGGAGTGAACCGAATGAGCAAAAGACCTTTTCTTCTGTGTCTTTCTCTGTCACTATGCCTTTTGGACAACAAACATAGCTAAATCTTTAAAAACACAAAATGTGTTCAAAGTACCCAACCTATTGAAACAACCTAAATGTTTGACAGTGAAGAATGAAAAAAGAAGCTGTATTATATTTGTAAGACTAATTTGGGTGATAAAATTCTATTGCTGTCATACACAAAATTTAACTGTGGCAACAGACATGTTAACCTAGGTTCAGTAAATATTTTTATGTATTTTATACAATCCTGTATCAAACCTCAAATATTCACAGAATTGATTTAAAGAAAAAAAGCTAAATAAATCCTACATTTTTTTTTTCTGGAAAAACACAAAGAAAACAACCTGACATCATGTTAATTACACCAATAAAATTATATTTGAAAAAATACTATGTGTAATTCACAGATTGTATGAACCATCCATTTTTTCCTTTTCTGCAACTTCATCCTTTAAGTAGACTCATCTTGAACCACTGAATGAAACTGCCATTCACACACTGACAGCATTTTGAGAACCAAGAAGGAAACCCTAAACAAGCAAAAATCGGTTCTGAGAATGATAATTTGTTACTGGTCAACTTGCACAAGTGATCTGGTACACATCCTCAAACTCCAGGGAGGCCTGAGTCTACCTGTGTGAGCTGGTCAGTGAGGTACCACAGGACACAGCCCAGAGCACCACACCAGCAATGGATACAGAAGTGCCAACACAAAAGGCAGAAATTTCTAGGTCCTTTCTGGAAATCTGTCTCTGGATGCTAACTGGCTTCCTTTCCTTTTGGGAGATGGGGCAGACAGAAGCACTTAGAGTGGATACCTCAGGAACCAAGCCATGTTTCTGATGTCTATTGACAAAGGCTCAGCAAACCTACCCCAAAGGCATCACCATCTCCTACATGTCACAGGTGGTGCTGTGAAAGCCAAGGTGGGTACATCACCAGGTGCTAAAGGATGGGGCCTTGTTTCTGGGAAACAACCTTACATGGACCCAAAGCTACTCTTTTCTGCAACCATGAAGAAGAAACAGACCATCCAAGAACTTTAGCAACTTAAGCTGAGGACGAATGCAACATCCCTGAGGGATAATTACCAGATGAACATCAGGATGAGTGTGTGTCCCAAGAGGATGCGGTAGCGGAACAGATCCAGGAAGCTCCCAGTCTCCCTATAGCTCCTGTTGGCTGGGTATGTCAGTGAGAATGTACACTTGAGCTTGCGGTTCCTCCTGGCGATGAGGTACAACGCCTCTTCAGCCTCACTCAGTCGACCCTGGGAGTATAACCAACGAGGTGATTCAGGAATGAATCTGAAAGAGACGTCATTAAAGGCTGTATATTCATATGGGCATACATACATAACAAAGACACGAGTCATTTCACCATTACAAGATTTTGTGTTGTGTTTACATTGACTTTGCCAATGCAATACGTGGGTGACAGCCAGGGAGGGAATAAGAGATAGGGAAGAGGAGCGGTGGAAGAGGAGGGGAAGCCTCTTCCAACAGTGCATCAATGTTAAATGGTAGTTCATCAATGGAAAGCAGAACCATGCTTTCAAAACAGCACTAGCAAAGTAACCAGCATGCATTTGTTCTTACAAGCACATTTTAATATGGGAATGGGAAGCTAAGTTGACAGTACTAAATAATACAAAGTCTTCATAAAGCATGGGTCAGAGATAGGACTCAAAATCCTACTCCGGTGGTTGTTAAAATAACATAGTACAGAGTTAAGAGTTTCTAAGTTCCTAAAAAGACTTACTTGAATGCACAAATCTTTATTATCTCAACCCAATAAACTAAATGTTTCAAAAGTGATTACAACATAGGGATATGCTATTTAGGAGATAAGGATTATTCTGAGGCCCAGTGATAAAACACACATACCCCATTTCAGAGTATCTCAGTTTGACCCTTGGCTCTGTTTCCAAATCCAGCTCCCTGTTGATCCACACCCCGAGGGCCACAGGTTCAGGCACATGTGTCCCTGCCACTCACACAGGAGACCTGGATTGAGTTTCAGGTTTCTGGCCTCTACTTGGTTCGGCCCTGGTTGTTACAGATATTTGGGGAGAAAACCAGCAGATGGAAGATTTCTGTCTGCTAGTCTTTCAAATAAATTTGTTTACAAATTTTAAAGATCCCTGGGCCAGGCTCAATGGTTAAATCCTTATTTGCAAGTGCTAGTATCCTATGTGGGCACTGGTTCATGTTCCAGATAATCCCTTTCCTATCCAGCTTCCTGCCTGTGGCCTGGGAAATCAGTAGAGAATGGCTCAAAGCCTTGGGACCCTGAACCCACATGGGAGACCCAGAAGAAGCTCCTGGCTCCAGCTCAGCTCAGTTCCAGCCGTTGTGGCCCTTTGGGGAGTGAACCAGGGGATGAAAGATCTTTCTGTCTCTCCTTCTCTCCATAAATATGACCTGCCTTTCCAATACAAATAACCATTTTTTAATTCTACTCTGAAGATCTTTAATTGTGAGGTACTAAGTTATAAAAGAAATTTGTTCCCTGTGCCAACGAGAGGATGTGAAATTGCTGTCTATGCAAAGGTCACGTTAAACAAGGAGAACTTGTATTTTAATTAATTAAGCATCGTTCTTCTCAGGAGCTAAGAGTGGGAACACCTGCAGAGTTTAGTTCTCCACCAAAGCTGTGCAGCTAAGCTCCTGAGAAGGAATGGCCAGCATTCACATAACACATTTCTTTTGCTTATTAAAGCTCTGAGAGGAAAAACTACTTACAAAGATAAGAGAAAGACCACTGTTCCCTGCAGGTTAACCAGCACAGCCAAGGTTCTCCAGGAGCGGATGAAGTACCCTAACAGGGCGTACTGAGCGATGCCAACTGCGAAGAACAGGCCGCCAATCGATCCTAATTTGGGGAAAAGACAACCGTCACTGGAGAAGAGCCATTCATGGCACCATTTCTAACCCCCACCCGCGTCACAATCACAGCCTTCCATGTGAGATGCCAGTCACATCCTGGCAAGCACAACAGGCAGAGCTAAGGGGCAAAATCTGCATAAATGTTGACCATCCAATGATTAAACCAAAAGGAGGACAGAACATTAGAAATGGAGGGAGGACAGATGCCAAATAGAAAGCACAGGTGGATAAAATAACTTTATGGTTTGCCCAAATGCTTTCCATATTACCTTCTGTATTAACATCTGCCTGAACTGATCTAGACTTAAAAATATTTTAGCCATATGGGTGGCACAGTTCATAGGCCAAGAAGTTACTGTAACACTGCAACTTAATTTCTATCACAGAGGCTAAACTTGAACTGCTTATCTTAAATCACAACACGTTTCCCAGTTCTCCTTGTCATCCACCATCATTTAACTTGCCATCATCAGATATATGACATTTTATATTTCTTTGTTTCTTGTCTCTCACAAGCAGAACACAGGTTTCAGGAAGCATGGATTTCAGTCAGCAATACAGATGGAAAACTATCAACCACAGAATTCTAAAGATTCCTGTACATTTTGAAGAAACAATGAGATGGGAATTTAAACCCACTAATGTACCTGATATTCTTATAAGTTCTGTATTGCTGACATATTTTCTACAACTGCTATCATCACCACTGTGGAAATAGGTGCTACTTATTGAACACCAGGATGTTTAGCATCAACACACTGTCCAGTGAAGCAGGTTTTATTCTCTACCAGACACTGAAGTGGGGAATTCAATCAGTGGTGAAGTGAAGCTAAGGACAGACCAGTGTACACGACAGAAGATTTGCGTGGAGGTCTGCCTGACTGGAGGAAACCATTTTTCTCTCTGCCTTCCAAGCAAAAACAATTTCTGTAGGTTTGCCAGAGCAACCGAACTTTGTTACAAAATTTCCCCTATAATAGTCCTATGGGACAAATGTTTCATTTGATTACTGTTTCCAGTTAAATATTCAATAACAGAAACCAGTGACTACATACTGTTTGCAGTGCAGGGGAAAGGGAGTGTCATTAGTGGCATAGATGTGATGGCCATTTGGCATGTTCTTGGACCCTTGCTTTGCCATGCCACTCAGTGACCTTGGGGATGTCATGAAACGACTCTGAACCCTAGCTTTCTCTTTTTTTTTAATATTTTTTTTTCTTAATTACATTGCATTATGTGACACAGTTTCATAGGCTCTGGGATTCCTCCAACCTCTCCCCGTACCCTTCCCCCATGGTGGATTCCTCCACCTTGTTGCAGTATTACAGTTCAAATTCAGTCAAGATTCTTTCATTGCAAGCATATGCCAAGCATAGAGTCCAGCATCTTATTGTCCAGATAAACTTAACGGTTTCTTGGGGAGACCATCTCTGGTCTGAAGGCAGAGCTGGCAGAATATCATCCCAATTAATTAAAAGCCACAACAAAGCAACAACAATTTACAACACTATGGAATTAGTTAACATGATATTGAGTAATCAATATGTTAAAAAATCCAAGTTCTTAACCACATCCTGTGACTACTTTATTGACATTTCAATTTTAGTTGATATACTACCAGCTTCTGTACATCTTAAAATGGCTATAGGGTACTATTTAGCTGTCTCGTGTCTATTTTCATTAGAGTATTTAGCAGTTTACAGTGTCGAAGCATAATTTTGCTGAATTTGGCAGATTTTAGGATAGTCAAAACTGGCTCATAACTCTAACAAGGCATATGTCAACAATTGAGGTGCAGAACAGTTTTAGGAGGGTGTGCAGAGAAATCTTCAATACCTTAGTGAGGAGTAACTAATCTTTGTGTCCTACCTAGTAAGGTATGTAGTAGTCCACGCTGACCATTTCCTGTCTGTGAACCCTAGCTTTCTAACTCAAGAAAAAGAAATAAGAATGTCCACCTGTGCCCAGTATGGTGGGCAAAGCAGGCATCACATATGGGTGCCAGTTCAAGGTTGCTCCACTTCTGATCCTGTTCCCTGCTAGTGGCCTCAGCAAAGCAATGGAAGATGGCTCAAGGATCTGGGCACATGCACTCATATGAGAACCCCAGATGAGGTTCCTGGCATCAGCCTGGCCCAGTGCCAGCTGTTGCAGCCATGTGGGGAGTGAACCAGCAGATGAGAGCTCTCTCTGTCTCTCATTATTTCTCTATAACTCTCAAAAATAAACAATAACCTTTAAAATTAAAGGTAAAAAGGTAATAATATTAAGAAGATGACCTACCTCAAAAGCTAGTTGTTACTACTTGAGGATGAAATAATCTATGTCACAGCGAGGTTATACTGTCCTGTGGTAACTTGGGTTTGGTACCATAGTTTCTATCTAATGTCCTAATTCCAACAACCCTGCATAACTCTTGTGTTTCTACTACTCTGAGTTCTTGGGGGCTGCCAATCAGTTTGTCCAGCTGCATGGATGACCTCAGCTAAGCCTTAGCTGATCTCAGAATTTTTTTGAAAAGATTTATTTATTTTTATCGCAAAGTCAGATATACAGAGGAGGAGAGACAGGAAGATCTTTCATCCAATGACTCACTCCCCAAGTGACTGCAATGGCCGGTGCTGCGCCAATCCAAAGCCAGGGCCTTCCTCCAGGTCTTCCACACGGGTGCAGGTTCCAAGGCTTTGGGCCATCCTCTACTGCTTTCCCAAGCCACCAGCAGGGAGCTGGATGGGAAGCGGGGCTGCCAGGAATAGAACCGGTACCCATATGGGATCCCAGTGCATTTAAGGCGAGGATTTTAGAGCACTCTAGGTCGCTAGGCTACCGTGCTTGGCTCTGATCTCAGAATTCTTATTGAGGATTTTAAAATCTGAACTTTGGCTCCAGTACTGAGTAGAGGAGGCTTTTCGGAGACAATGGTGGCAGACCTGTCTCTGAGGCCTGGCTCAGTTGCGTTAAGCAAAGGACATTTGTTACCAGTAAGCTCATCAGAATTGAGTCCCTGTCACACAATAAGTAAGAACTGGTGTTAACAGGAAGTGATGAACAGGAGGACATGATTCACATGTATCTAGTTCTGGTGCTCCGAACTCCTGTGATGGTATCTCCCTCAGCAGAAACTCAAGAGATGAGGGAGATTTCAGGGGAAAGAAAACAGTATGTTTGATTTGAAGGGGTCAACTGACATGCATATGTGTATCCAGCAAGAAAGTCAATCTATGTCTGGAAATGATGAGGGGGAATCAGGCACACAGATACAGAGGTGATAACGCTCTAGATAATTTGGTTTAAAAAATTTAATAAATATTGAGCATTTTATATATTTTAATCCAGGGATATATATTTGAACTTACATTTCAGATTCATTTTGTTTATTTTTAACTGATTTCAAGTCTGTTATTTCTGCTCAGTTTGTCTGAAAGCTACATTACAATGGTTTTACTGCCATTTTTGTGAATGGCACTGATGGTTCATCAGGTTTTCAAACACAAGCCATGAAGTCCCCTGCTGTTTTCTTTCCTCTTCTCACTTCTGATCCTTAAGCAAGTTGTATTTCCACCAAACTCCAGCTCAAAGCCAGCTTTAAGCCTCATGTAACCAACAACAGCCTTGATCAGTGGTGCTAAATGTCCTGTCCTTAGACTGTCCAAGGCCTGTGAAATCATTAGGGCTGGCCCTGCCAGAACAACTGCAGGTGGAACTCAAGAGGGAACAAATCTACTGCAGGTTAATTTTAAATTGATAATTTTGTATGGCCTGTAATGGTGTTATAAATACCCAAGTAGCTCTGGGCAGAAAAATGTTCCCCAGCGCTGCTGAAACGATCCCTCTATTTCCACCTTGTGCTCTACCATCCATATTTCTAACATCCACCACAGTCATTTCTGTTTATATTCGTTTGTTAACAACCCACTGACTTTACTCTCAATGAGCCTTCTCAGCTGGTCTCTGACGGTATTTTGCTTCACTCCTAACCTCTCTATAGAGTTAGCCAGAAAGCCAGAGGAATCATTCCAGGTCATTCCCCAGGACCTTGGTGTCTGTCTTCTCATTTGACTGGAATGTTCTTTCCCTATAATTACACATATTCAGGTCTTTTTTGATCATTTACCTCTTGCATACGATATTCTAATTATTCCATTTAGAGGAATGACCCTTTGCAATTGCTACCTAGCCCGTTATCCTGTTTAAGTATTTCCAGCATCCTTACATAACTTCCTTAAAGTTGTCCCTTGTTAGTTCCACCTGAGGGAAGCATAAACTCCCTGAGAACAGACTCCCACACGCACCCTGTGGTGCTCATCCTTTTGAACAAAGTACTGAAAGCAGCTGCATCTGGTGCAGGGCAGACAAATGAATGCTGCATAATGGGTATGCAGACACAGCGATATGTTAACTGTGGCCATCTGCAGAGCAGTACACCACCATGTGCATTTTTCATGTTTGGATTGTACAGACTCGGAAAAGTTCATGGGAAATAAAATTAAAAGATCAGTCCATTTACTGCAAACACTTCTAGTCCAGGCATGATTTTTTTATAATATGGATTTTTCATGAATTTCTGAAGAGCCTTGAATATTTCTTATTTTTTGTTTTGTTTTGCCTTGCTTTGTTTTTGATTTAGCTATTTATTAGAAAGTCAGTTACAGAGAGGGAGCGACAATCTTCCCTCTGCTGGCTCACACCTTGGATTGCCATAACAGCCAGGGCTGGGACCAGCAAAGAGCCAGGGGCTTCATCCAGGTCTCCCTCATGGCTGGCAGAAGCTTAAGCACTCAGGTTGTTTTCTTCTGCAGGGAGCTGGACTGGAAGTGGAGCAGCCAGGACTCAAATTGGTACCTATATGGGATGTTGGTGTGGCAGGTGGTGAATTAACTCACTATGCTACAATGTTGGCCCTCTTCAGACTAACTTCTGACTGTCGAATAATTAGGATGTTTCCAACAAATTCCCTACCCTAAACCTCACAGTTCGTGAGTACATTTGAAAGCACTGAGAAGTATCATATTGTGCTGAAGAGAAGGCAATTTGAAAATAAAGTCCAAGAAAAACTCTCTGGGGACCTTATTTCATGGAAGTGGGAACAGGAGGTTGCTCATACAAAAACATTTGAGGAGCCAGCAGAGCCCTTTTTTCGTTCTGGGTGCAGGTTAGCACCTGCCCTCCAGCAAATTCTCTCACATTTGTGTGGAACTTCACATAGAATTTGGCAGACTTCTGAAGCTGCTATTGCAGATTTCTCCCCTTTTGCTTTTTAAAAGTATTTACTTATTTGGGAGATGAAGAGAGGAAGACTAACAGCAAGGAGACCTCCTGTCTGCTGGCTTGTTCCCCAAGTACCTGCAGAGGCTGGGGCTGGAGTTAGGAGCTTAATCCAGGTCTCCCACTCGGATGGCAGGGACCCAGCTACTGCAGTCATCACCACTGCCTCCCAGGGTCTACACTAGCAGGAACCTAAAGTCAGGAGCCAGAGGCAGGTGCAAGCCCAGGTACTCTGATGTGGGACACAGGCATTCTAAGTAAATCTCTGTCTTCTTAAGACTTATTTATCTTTTCAAATTGGAATGGCAAATTTACAGAGAATAAGAGACAGAGAAAAAGATCTCCAATCCATCGGTTCACTCCCCAAATGGCTACAATATCCAGCGCTGAGCTAATCTGAAACTAGGAACTTCTTCCAGGTTTCCCACATGGGTACAGAGTCCAAAGGACCTGTTCCATTCTCTGCTTCTTTCTCAGGCCAAAGGTAGGGAGCTAGAATGGACGTGGAGCAGCCAGAACTGGAGCCAAAATCCTTAGGGGATGCCAGCACTGAAAGGCAGATGATTAGTTTGTTGAGCCATCACATCAGCCCCTCAAGTAAAGCTTAACCAGAAGGCCAGCTGGGAAGAATGCCAGTTTTCTTTTTTTCTTCTGCTGCAGAAATTTTAGTTGCTGCATTTTGGCCCAGCTTTAAGGACAAGAATGGGAGTGTAAAGTACTTCTACAGCAAGGCTTTAGTGACTGGCAAAGGAGCAAGATACCAAAAGGCCTCTTTTTGTGTCCAACGTATACCTGGACAGGAACAATCCTTAGATAATCTGGCAGGGTAAGGGTGGTGCAGATGCTCCTCACATATGATGGGGTTATGTACTGAGAAACAAACCAAGTCTGAAATGCACTGACTACACTGCACTACTGAACTTGAGCAACACAGTTCACTGCTGTTAGTAGTTCCTCAGGGGCCTGGCTGAGAGCGGGAGCTGCAGTTGCAGCAGTGGAGTGTCTCACGGCACACTGCTCTCCAGGGTAAAGACCAAAATGCAACCAAGTGTGCCTTCAACCAAATGTATTCTCAAAGAACTGAAAGCCAAACCACTGCAGGTCAAGGATGTTCTTCATGGGCCAGCTAAAGCTAAATGTGAATGTATAATAGAGAAAGTTGTGATGGGCATGAAAAACATGCACTGGTGACACACTAGGTGAACAAGATTTGGGACCGGAGGAAGAGCAAAACCAAAGAAAAGGGTGCCTTTGTGCCTTCGCTGGCACAGTAAGTCGTTGTGATCAACCTGCTAATTCCTCAGAAAGTCTGGCTCCACTGCTTACAAAAAAAAAAAAAAAATTTAAAAAAAGACACTGAAATCTCAATACAAACTGAAAACTCTGAGAAAATTTTCTCACTGGTCCTAGACCAGAAGCTGAGCTACAGGGAAAATAACAAAGCTTTGGAAACTGCTGTCAAGGGGATGAGAAGCTGGCAGGAAGCCTGTCCAGCCAGATGGGCTAGGGCCTTCTATAGCCTCATCCTAGATGCAATCAACACAACCCTGGCACTGCACAAGTGCACATCAGCTTTGGGACACAAACAGAACGGCATTCTGCTTTATTTAACCATTGTTTTCTAGCTCAATAACAATCCACAAGACTTCTAAAACAAAACAAAACAAAACAAAATACATGAGGGCTCCCAGGTTGACAAAGTCAAAACTCACACTCAGGGTGATACACTGAAGTTCCCAGAGGACATCCTCTGGGAACAGCAGTGAGGCCATGGGTCTGGGATCCAGACCAGCCCCTGACTGTAGGATCTGTTGTTACACATTCCTTGGATTCATTTGTATCAGTCATATGATCAATCTGTTCTCCACATTAATAAAAGAACATCAATGGTATCAGTTAATGTCAAATGAATGAAAGTTAGAAAAAACAAAGGCCATCACTGTAACAACTGGAGTTTCAAGACACACTCACTCTCCTATGACAACATTTTAAGTCAAGTAACTTTTAAAATAATTGACTTTGTTATGTATATACACTATATATACTATGTATGTTATACTATTATATATAAAACAAAACAAAACAAAACAAAAAACAAAACACGTGAGGGTTCCCAGGTTGACAAAGTCAGAACTCACACTCAGGGTGAAACACTGAAGTTCCCAGAGGACATTCTCTTTGTTGTTATACTATATATGGTATACTATTTCCTATATATGTAGTCCTTGAAGAGATGATGGGTGATTAAAAATAATTTAGAACATGGTCTCAATGTGGAAATAACAGATTAGTAAAGAAATGTAACAGTAACACCTGCTGACTAACAAAAACAGAGAAGGGCCACAAAACAAGGTTTTAATAGAACAGAATAAAGCAGTTCTAAGAAATGGGTTGTTGATATTTCTGTGTCTGCATCGCTCCCTAGTTTAAGGCCAAAGGTGGCTGATGTCCTGTGGTGGAAGGCTATGTGATGAACAACTAGCTCACCATCTGTGAGGTGAATCCCACGGGAGACTTCCACTTAAGGTCGTACAGAACAAACAGCAAAGCAAACCTAACACAAGTGGAACATCCACAGTCCAAAAATCCAAAAGTTGAAATGCTCCAAAATTTGCAAAACTTGTGTACCACCCTGAAACTACAAGTGGGAAAGTCCATGCCTGGTCTTAAAGGTGCACTAAAAACACTGTAAAAATCACCCATGAAAATTAATCTTGTGTTTAGGTTAGGTCTTATCTCTAAAGTATTCATTATGTATATGCAAATATTGCAAAATCTGAAACAGCAAACACACATTTTGAGTAAGAGATACTCAACCGCTAGTTGAATATGATGTCTAAAGTCCAAATGCATTCTCAGACTTTGGGGTTTAGCTGGTTCCCTTCAAGGTTTTCACATCCAGATCTACACAGATTGAAGCAGTACCTGCAAGTGCCCAGTAGGCGGTGCCCACACATTCGTTTAGCAACACAAAGGCCACCAGCGACATCCCTCCATTCATCATGCCCACCAGGAAGCGAGTTATTGCAAAGAACTCATACGAGGGAGAAAATCCATTTGCAATAGCAAATAAGATGTCAAGAGCAAAACCTAGTAAGAAAGGAACAATATTCAATGATCCAGAGGCAGAACAGCATCTGAGGAAAGTAATAAATTACATTCATTAGTTTGTAAAATAAACCTTTGTGAACTTGAATCTTCTCAGCTACTTTTTTCCCCCTAACAGTTTCTCCTGAACACTATAAAGAAAAACTGAGGTTTACTTTGCTATATGATTTCTGCCAATCACGCAGTTTTACATTGTTCACAGCAATGGTGGAAACTGAAAACTTCTCACTCTTGCTCGGCTGGTCAGGGAATGGTGCTGGGTCCTACAGAGCTCATCTGAAATGAGTCAACATACAGCTAAATGGAAACAAACTCAATGGACTATCTTGATCTTACTGCTCTCCTTAGAAATGTGGCATACATCCGGATTGAGGGGTGGCAGAAAGCACTATCATCTAACATGGTTTACAACACCAACATTTGGCTGTAATCAGAACAGTTCATCAATAAAAAACTGCTTGTCAAAATCCACTCTGGCTGCACAGTGATTTCTGACCATCCTAATGTGTCCATGCAGCAATTTCCTGAGAGCCTTAAGGAAAGTGTCTCCTAAGGATTTTCCCAAGACCTCAGGGAACAACATTCTCTTACTCATTCACCAAAACTAATAACATTACCTGTGAGATACATCTTCTTCCTTCCAAAGCGATCTGAAAGCTGACCAAAGGAGATGACTCCAACAAACACACCACTGAAGAAAAAGGAGCTGGCAACGCTGACTTTGTAGGATCTGCTGGCGATTAAAAACCACTGCAGGAAGAGGAGACACAGGAGACATTCAGGTCACAGGAGAGGATGGACTGAGAGCTGTTAAAACTGAGTCTAAGTAAAAAGAAAAAATGTGTAATAGAGCTCCTCAGCTGCCTGATCCACAACTAACCAAGATTTGAAGAACAGTCATCTCAAACATTAGTCAAGCATTGTCATCTTCAGGACACCAGAAGCCACTGTTATAATGGGCTCTCTGGTCATCTTTAAGTTATAACAGCATTAAATGCAGTCTATATCAGCTAACAGCTTACATACCTGTTGACTGAGCCCATACGTCACTTGAGAAGAGACTCTTCCCATTTATTTCTGCTTTTCTGATGCCTAACACACTACCTTGCACATAGAAAGCAATAAATGAATGATCCTTTATTCAAATGACCAATGGATTCAAAATCTCTTGAAAACTTTGCTAAAAAAAATTTAGAGAGAACCTTACAACCTAGCAATTTCCCTTCTGGGTCTATATATCCAAAAGAATAAAAGCGGTTAGCATTGTGGCACAATAGGATGCTTCTGATGGTGGCATCTCTTAGGAATATCAGCTCAAGACCGGCTGCTCAACTTCTGATTTAGTTCCCTACTTGGCACCTGGGAAAGCAGAAGATGATTCAAACACCTGGCTCCTCACCATTCACATGGGAGGCCTGGATAAAGTTCTGGGGCCCTGGCTGTGGCCTGAACCAGCCCTAACTGTTGTGGCCACTTGGGGAATAAACCAGCAGATAGAAGACAAATTTCTCTCTCTCCCTCTGTGTGTACATGTGTCTCCTCTGTAAGTCTCCCTTTCAAATAAATAGACCTTAAAAAGAAAACAACGATTTAAAGCAAAAAGCAGGAAGAGAAAGTTATACATCCATATTCACAGCGGTATTACTCGCAACAGCCGAAGGTGGACGTAACCTCTATCTATTGATAAATGAATGGATAAACAAAATGTCACATACTTACACTTACACAATTGAATTTTACCCAGCCTTAAAGAAAAATGAAATTCAGAGTCACATTGCAACATGGTTGAACTCTGAAGACATTATGCTAAATACAGTTAGCCAGACACAAAGGGATAAATCACTTATATGAAGTAGCAGGAATACTCATTTTCAAGGAAAGTAGAACAGCAGTTATCTAGGGTGAGAAGAAGGAAACCAGGAGCCACTGTTGAATGGACAGAGAATCAGTTTAGAACTGATGAAAAAATTTCTGATTTTGTAGACTACACTTGCTGCTCCTGAACCACACATACTAAAATATGATTAAAATACTAAATTTTATGTCATTTGTATTTGTCACATACACAAAATACCTTTTAAGTACTACTATCTTCTAATTTAAGGAAGCTTATCAATTAAGAGAATACCATCACTCAAACACCAGCATCTAAAGTAGTGTCTAGTGCTGTGTAATAAAGTCTGGTCATCAGGATGAAAGTGAATCTGTCACAGATGTGACCCCAGATAACCATGGTCCATTCTTCCTCTGCCCAGTAACACCTCCTAGGGTCAGTGATGATAGGCTTGAGCAGCACTTTTCACAGAGAAATTGCCAGAAGGCATCTTCTTGGTTGTTCTTGTCCTCCATGAAGCTCACTTCTTTCCCACACGTTAACCAGTACTGGGATTCAGAAAGCACACTGAACTCCACTGCTTCCCTTGTATTTCCTGCATGATCAGATTGATAAAGATCTTGCTCATCAGTTTATAAACATCTCTAAAAAAAAAAGTAAATAGAAGAGAAGAAAAGAAAAGAAAAAAAAAAGGAAAACCCCCAAAAAAGAACTAGGTAAGTCTGACAACTTCACACAAGCTGTGGTTTATTCCTGAAATCTGACATTCACATAACATTTTTAACAGGGTCAATTAACTAGTTTTTCCAGTTTGTCTTGGAATTACTGTTTCAAGTCAACAGTTATTGCTTTCAGAAAAGATAATCAGGATACTGATGCTGTTGGTGGCAGTCTAGATCACGGTAAGATAGAGAAGAAGCAAGACTACATAAAACTGGAGCATGTTGAAGACAGTGTGCTCAGTGATGAAGTTTCATAGTTTCTGCTAGAGATGGATAACTACTGTAAACACAGATGATAGCTATAAACAAGCTAGGCATAGGACGACCCTCACATAGCATTAGTTCCAGTGTAGTAAGGAACATAGTAGGTAAATTCATGGAGACCGGGAGGAAAGCTCTGAAATAAGGTGCTGGGAGAAGATGCTTTTGTGGAGAGGTGACACAGGCAGCCTGGATTATGAGTAGTAGTTACCCAGGAAATGCTATCAGGAGAACAAAAACAACAGCCCACAGTAAGGACCTAGCAGTGTTGTCTCATGGAGATGGTAGAAACATGCCCAGGAGGTGAGCAGGTATCACCGTGCAGAGCCTTGAGCCCCAGTAACCAGTCAAAGATTTTATTCCAGTGCAAAGAGAGGACATGGAGGCACTGGTCATTTGTTCCTAAAGATCATTCTAGCCTCCCACAAAGCTGCATTACAAGAGCAAAGAGCAGGAGGACATGTGCAATAGTTCACAACACAATCATGGCATGGATGGGCAGGGATGGCTCTCCAGTTGTGATGGAAAGAATTGTGTTAGACATGGGGTACACCTGTGAAGGTAGAGCCAGCAGGATTTTACTGATGGAAGGGACATTCAAGAGGAATAGAACAAACTAAACACTTAAGTGTTAATGTTAGTCACTCAGTGGATGATTTTAACATTTACTCAGGATGCAAAGGATCCTAGGGATGTGGGAGGAATCAAGAGCTCTGGCTGGACATGATTAGACTCAGCCCGCCTTGGAGACACTAAGCAGACACATCAAGCAGGCATTTGGATATGAACCTTGAGCTCTCATGAGAAATGTTTTGAGGAGCTATGAGACTACAGATGTAAAGAAAAGCTACTAACTAGGGCCTGAGCCACATCTACATGCAGAAGCTGAGCAGCAGACACACCAGTAGAGAGACAGATCATTCGGAACAACAGTTAAGTCACTGCTTGGGATGTCTATGCTCACATCGAAGGCCTGGTTTGAGTCCCTCTCAGCTCCTCTACTTCAAATCTAGCTTCCTGCTAATGTACACCCCAGGAAGCACTAAGTGATAACTCAATTACTTAAGTTCCTTATCGCCCACGTGCAACACCTGTATTGAGCTCTGGGCTCCTTTCTCCAGCCTGACTCAGTCCTGGCTGTCACATACAATTGGGGAATAAACAATGGGTGGAAGACCTCTATTTTTGTCTCTATTTCTGATTCTATGCCCTTTAAATAAAGTTTAAATAAAATTATTGCTTTTTTTTTTAAAAAAAAAAAGACCTGTTTCAGAAAACTTACTAGTATCATTCAGAGATCTAAGAAAGCAGGGGAGGAGGACATGGCATCACAGAAGCTGTAAGGGGGAATCTGACTCAGACAGAAAGGATTAGTTAAAAGGATTAAAATAGAATACTGCCTTAGAGGCAAAGCAAGATGAGGACAAAGACATGGCAGCTATCTAAGGAAATAAAACTGGGCACTTAAAAAAAAAAGAAAAAAAACTCAGGTAAGAATAGAAGGCTTGTAGAATTCTAGAGAGCTGGAGGAGGTTGAGAAATTAAAAATTGCATATATGTATAGAATGTTGATGACAACTGTGGTTATGAAGAGAGCAAAGAAATGGGATAGTATCTGTTCGGGTATGTAATGTAAAGGATGACTGCAGGCATGTAACCCAAGAGATCTAGTAAAGCAGACACAAAGAACTTACCAAAGCAACAAGGGATGTATACATATGCACTAATTGGGACACTGGCCTCCACAGAATCAGGCAGACTGCCACCATATGGGAGGAAGTAGAGTGCTGATGACACCCAATCATGCCACTATTACTCACTGAAATATACGGTGAGGCCACCTTACTTAAAGGAGGGAGAAATGCGGGAGAGTTAGATTTTTAAGGAAGAAGTTGACAAATACAGTCCTCTAATAGCACATTAAAGATATGCTGCACAGTTGCCAGGACACACTGAGTGTTCACCTGAGCTTTGCAGTCATCACTTGCTTGGACAGGTGAAGAGTTAAAATCACACAGAGCTGGGGACTTTCCAGGAGTAACACAAAAGGCAAGAGGTACCAGAGTGAATGATATAAGCAAAGCAGTGATTACAATAATGGAATATGCTGGCTGAGAAGACAAAGCAGGCATACAGGTCATGATGGGCAGTTAAACAATGCCACTATCATGAAAACTCCTTCTATTTCTAACCTCTGCTCTGTACTTTCGATTCTTACCTTAACTGCAAGTGGGTTATTTCATAAGGAAATTGTGTGATGAGCTTGGTACCCCACAACCGGAAGCTGTCTTTCTCTTTGCATCCATGAATAAGAGGACATCAGATGGAAGCAGACAATAAAACATCAGAATCAGGAGCTCATCTGAGGATCCTATCAGACTCTACGTGCAGCCCACCATCTTTCTGCGCCACAGATACTCCTTCCACTGGAGCATTTAGCTGGCCATGTGGTGGTTTAGAATGAAGAAAAAATAGCCCACTCTTTCAGTTAGGTATGAGCGCAAGGTCAAGTTCTGGGCAATGGGATGTAAGTAGAAGCATAATATTACATGTGACTGTCTTTAAGATTGTTAATTGGCTTTTTGCCCCTTCTTTCTCTGAAGTATACAATTTTTAGAAGCTCTTCCTGGGGTCATGCCGAAGGATATGAATTATTGCAAAGCTGGATGGAGCTGGGGCTCCTGAGAACACTGGGGGAAGACCCAAGCACCAGTACATTTATTTGTTAAAATCCTCTTGATGATTTCATGGAAAATTAGGCTAAGAACCCCCATCCTGGCCTCCTTCTTTAGTAATTTTATTGTCTTCTACTACCTCTCACACACATTCACATTTTCAAGACCTCTAGTTAGCAAACCCTGCAAGAATAATGGCCTAAGTCAAATTAGCTCACATGAAAATGCCCTGCTTTAAGGGTATGCAAAGGAAGGAAG